TGATGATGATGATTCTATACAAACTTCTAAACATTGTATATTTTACAACAGAGTACAAGAACAACAACATTATTTTGTCATCGTTTGTTTTATTTTACTTATGTTGGTTGTACGAAGAACCACAACAAACATTTATAAAAAAAGTTTTAGAAACGATAAGAAAAATCTAAAACGGAAATGAATTAAAACACGAATAAATAATTTTCATTTTTAACAAATTGTAAATGATAACCGATAAATATTGATCGATAACTAAATATCGAGAAGGGTGAGGAGGGAAGGAAGGGAGAGAATAGAGGGAGGGGAGGAGAGGGGAGAGGGTAAAAACGAATTAAAAAGTTTTAATAACGTCGAAATTGATATAAATAGTCTCGACGTTTGTATCATAATAAAAATTTTAAATACGGATTTGAATTTTATTATAAGTTTTTCAAAAAAAAAAAATTTTTTTTTTTTTAATACGAATTAAGTTGGCAGACTTGAATTTAATAAAATAATTTCAAAAATTGGTTTAAGGACTTACGTGCGAATAATTTTAAAAAAAAAAAAAAACTTAAATTAAAAATAAGAAATGATTATTTATTTGTTTTGCTTTTTGTATTTGTTTAATAACAACCGTTTCCGTTTCCCTTATCATTATTTATATCGATAAAAAATGTTAAAAGGTTCAGAAAAAAGTTATGATCGGAGATATAAATAAAAGAATTGTTTCTTTTGATAGAATAAAATCATTCAAGTGTTCAATTGGGTTCGTTATCTAATAAATCGATGATGATGATGATGATGATGATGATGTAAAAACATGAACGGTTAATATAAACAAATCAAAATTGTGGCGTTTAGCAGAAGAAAATCTCTAATCTTTATAAATAACATTAATTTAAAGTTTTCAAACGGAAACAAAAAGTAAAAAAAAAAAAAAATGAGAGAGAGGAAAAAAAAAAGAAAATTTCACCGTAACTTTTTTTTTTTATATTATCAATATTATTATTATTATTATTATTATTATTATTACGTCATTAGAGAGTTTATATTAACGTTTCGCATTTATTTTATCGATTAATTATCATTATTATTATTATTAATATTAATGATTTTATCATTTTTTAATTTTTTCATAACTGTTTGTTTTATTTGTGAAAAATTAAAAAATCATAGAGTAAGAAAAAAAAATTATTTTATTTATTTATTTACTCTATGACTTATTTAAATTGGTATTCCCAATATAAAAAAAAAAAATTTTTTTTACGGTTGAGTAAATTAATAATGGCCGAGAAAGGGAGGGAGGACAGAGGGAGGGGGAAGAAGGGAACTAATAAGAAAAAAAAGGAGGATTTTATTTTTTTATTTTTTTTGTTTCGAAGAGAAAAATGAAAGGCGAGAAAGGTTGTGTGTGTGTGTCATTAAAATGTGTCCTAGGCGACGTGTCCGCAAAAGCTTAACAAACAAACGTGCCTTGACCGTATGACCTTAATAAAAAAAAAAAAAAATCAGGAAAAAAAAAAAGATGGAGGATGTACGCGCGATTGAGGGTTAAATAAAATACAAAAAAAAAAAGAACCTTTTAAATAAAAAAAAAAAGGTTAAAAAACAAAACAAAATTTTTTCTAGTTAATTGAATCCCTAAAAAAAAAAAAATTTTATATTGAAATTTACTCCCACCCCTCCCCCTCCTCCTCATGTTTTCTCTCTCTCACTGTCAACCATCGAAACTAAATGTAAAAAAAAAAAAACTTTTTTTTTGTGGTCGTCGTTGCCAACTTAACACGCTAAAAAGTATTTAAATCAAAAAAAAAAAAAAAATTTCTTCTCTTTCTTCCCTCCTCCTCTTACTCCTCCTCCCCGCCCCGCCTCCTTCCCGTTCCGCCCCGTCCCCTCCTCCCTTCCCAAAAAAGATGAAATCTATGAACGAATAATTTTTTTTTCATAAATGTGTTGTAAATTTGAAAATTTTCCTGGAAAACATTTTTTTTTTCTTTTGGAAAACTTATCTATCTCTGTAGTGTGTTTTTATCACTAAAACATTTTCCAAAAACTTAATATGGGAGAAAATGAGAAACATTATTCAATGATTTTATACGATGATGATAATAATAATAATAATATTTATGTGTAATAGATTTAAAACTGGATTTTAATACCGAATAAACTTTCTTATAAATCCTTCCTTTCTCATCAACTTATTATCATTTATTATTATTATTATTATGACGAACAAGAGAAAATTTCGCACTTTTTACTTCCTCTCTCTCTCCCTCTCTCACTGTTTGCAAAATAATTATTAATAATAATAATAATTTTAATGGTTTTGATGAATTTGTAAAATTTTTCCAAAAATAATCAAATTTTCTTTTTATTCTCGCAATTACATTTCGAGAGATTGATTTCCAAAATCGATTATTACGATTGAATTACGATCGACGGGTGAGAAAGGGTGGTAAAATATTTTTGGAAATCGAAACAGAAAAAAAAAAAAACACAAAACCGACCGCACTCAA